AAAAGAAGAAAGAAAGAAAGAAAGAAAGAAATAAAGAAAGAAAGAAAGAAAGAAAGAAAGAAAAGAAAATCGCCTAAATTTAAAAAAAAAGAAATTTGTCTACAGTGTCAAAAATTGTCTAAAAAGGTGAGTAATAAAATAAATCATTGGGACCAGCAGTTGGCGTAATGGCTATGTCGCTGGACTCCCACGTAGTCGACCGAGGTTTGAGACTCAGACCCGGTGGTTTAAACTCACGCTGGGTGCATGTGTGTGCGCATGCCCAAGATCCCGAGAGGTGAAGGGATTTCAGCACGGCCATCGCCCACAGAGGGTGATTTCTCGCTTTCTATCTCTGTCTCTGTCTTTCTGGTGAGCACACACGCCCTATAGCAAAATCCTCTCTCATTAAATAAATAAACAGATAAATAAATAAATAAATAAATCATCAGAGGTGTTTAGATTACTTGTTGTAAATTCGCCCATTAAACCCTTTTTTTCTTATCTGTAAATTTACGGCCTTGAACGACAATGTCTTAGGGCATCACTTTTATAATATCATGAGTGGGAAAGATTGAAGGTATTACCTAAAAACCACAGGCCCTAGTCTGTTGTAAGGTGGTGATGAATGTCAGATTTGGGAGCAGATTACTGGGCAGATTTTTAAATTTTGCTTTCTGTGGTGATCGTTTACACTTTGACAAATTTTTATCTCTTTTGAGGTGTTTTAAAACATACATTTATGGGACCATTAATGGACTTCCATGTAGTCAACTGTGGTTTGAGCTCCAGACCTGGCGGCTTCAAACTCATGCTGGGCACATTTATGTGCATGTCCAAAATCCTAAGAGGAGAATGAAGAAGGGATTGTGCCATGGCCATCCCCCTGGAGGGTGATTTCTCGCTTTCTGTCTCTCTGTCTCTCCAGCAAGTACATATACCTTATAAGAAAAATCTCAAAAAAAAATTAAATAAAAAACATACATTTATGAACCAGATCAGAACGTTTAAGTCAGAGTTGAAAATGGACTCAGATGCCCGGAGTACAAATATATTAAAGTAAGCATGTTCATAAATAAATGGGGAAATTATATTTATGTTTCAAAGCATTTGCTTTCTATCAATATCCTCTAGAAAAGTAGAAAAGTAGAGAAGAGGAAAATCCAGGAAAGCTGAATTTTTGCTCAGTGTCATAATTCTCTTACTCTCTAATCTTCTGAGTCTGTTTATTCTGTCGTTCTCACCGCTGGAATGGGAACTCCACACAGGCAGGAATCACCGTATGCTTTTTAAGTGATGTCTTCCAACTAGCTAGCACATCATTGAATAAAAAATCCACAAAATGAGATTAATCATAGCGGCTTCTCTATATTTGGCTTTCAAGTGGGCAAAAATGAGACAGGGAAACTTAAACCCCCTTGAGAGGTGATTTTTATGCAAATCCAAAGTGATGTTGTATTCACTTTTCCTTTTGCTTACAGTCTTCCAAATCAAAACCAACTTTGAAGTCAGCAGCAGGTCATAACTAGTGATATCTACCCGAAGTGCTATGATACCAAGTTTCAATCTTACTCACCTCACCCAGTGTGGCCTCAGCTCTCTACTGTCACGTGGTGGTGTATAGTCTGGGCCCTGTATAATGAGACTCCGTTTCACCACCTTTGGCGACCTCCAGTGACTTGGTTTCCTAAAAATGAGGACAAGGGTAACTTCAGCTCAAGGAGCTGTTGGGTAAAATGAGATTGTACGTGTGAAGTTCTTTGTAAAGTAAAACAGCCATAAATGTGAACATATTATTTTGCTGTCCAGGGATTTCTCCTGAGATCATTGTTTCTTTCCATTTTTCTACTTGAACATGCATGGTTGATTTCTAAGGCTGTCATAGAAAGTGTCACAAACTGGGTGATGTAGAACAACAAAAATTTATTTTCATAGTTCTGACATCTAGAAGGCCAAAATCGAGGTGTTGGCAGAGCTATACTTGAAAGGAAAAAGGGGAAGGACTTTTCTTTGCTTTATTCCAACTTCTGGTAGACCACAACATCATTCGGTTCATGGTAGCAAAATCCTAATCTCTGCATCTCTCTTCACATAGATTTTTCCCTGTGTCTCTTCATGTTGTCTTCCCTCTATGCGTGTTTGTGTCCAAATTTTACCTTTTATAAGGACACTAGTCATTTCCCACTTAGGCTCACCCTAATGACCTCATTTTCTTTTCTTGAATTTTATTTATTTCTCCCATGAACAAGAGAGGGAGAGACAGAGAGAGGAACATAAGGACAGCACTCCCACAAGGATCTTGATGCCACAATCCACTCTTAGCCTCAGCCAGCCCTGCATCATGGGCATGCACATCACCCCCTACTCAGAAAGGTCTCTGGACACTGACCTGAAAGCTGCCCATGAGGGACCACCTTGATGAACATTGCATTCTACTGCCACACACCCCTCCAGCCTCCATGGTGAACTCATTTGAACTTAATTACCTCTATAAAGACTTTATTTCCTGTTGGAATTATATTCTGAGGTATTGGGGGTTAGGACTGCAGCATATTTGGGGAGAGCTACAACTCAACCCATCATAGCATTATTCTCTTGGGTCATCAGAAAAGTCACTATGTGTTTTTCTATACTTTTCTGTGCCGAAATGCCTCATGACTTTTCTGACAATCCAGTATTTCTTTTTCTTCAGTTAAATGTTTCTTTCCTTCCTTATTGAGGAAGTATCTTATAATGCAGCTCCAAGTTGGAAGCTTTAGGTTTAATTTTAACCCTGTCACTAACTTTATTGAAAGAAACCACTCAAGTCTTTCTAGGTTACTATAACATAAAAGGATTGGGCCAGATGATGTTTACCAGGTCTTCCAAGTTCAAGAAGTTGTTATTATAATTTATGGTTGGCTTTTTATCAACTATTATGTTTATTTCAGCACCACTTGATTCTCTATGCATCTTAATGGTCCTATAACTAATAATAAAGGCTCTGATAACCACCTCAAAAAAACACGTTAGGGGGAACCAGCAGTTAGCGTAATGGCTATATCACTGGACTCCCACATAGTCAACCGCGGTTCACGTCCCGGACCCGGTGGCTTAAAACTCACGCCGGGAGCGTGTGCGTGCGTGCCCAAGATCCCGAGAGGAGATTGGAGGAGAAGGGATTGCAGCGTGACCATCCCCCCCTGGGGGGTGATTTCTCACTTTCTGTCTCTATGTCTCTCTCTCTCTGTCTGGTGAGCACAAGCGCCCTATAGCGAAAACCTCTCAAAAAAAAAAAAAAACATGTTAGGTATGGCTACGTTAATCTGTTCATAAAATACAGTCAGATCTCCATATCTGTAAGTTTTGAATCCTTAGATTCAAACGTTGAACACAGATTGAAAACATTTGGGAGAGAAAAAGCAATAAAACATAACAACACAACAATAAAAAGAACAAATAAAAACTATTTAACAACATTTTACATAGCATCTATATTGTATTCGTTATTATAGATAGTCCAGAGTTGACGTGAAGTATATGGGGAGAACATGCATAAGTTAAATGCAAATATTATATCATTTTATATAAAAGATTTGAGCATCCACTGATTTGGGTATCCACAGCAGTATTAGGGATACTAAGGAATGACTATATATATCAAAATATTGTACATAGTAAATATATACAATTTTATTTGTTAATTAAAATAAATAATACAAAGAAAAAAGTTCTGTTATATCTCATGACTTTTTTTTTCTCTTTTATAAAAGTATTTATTTGGGAACCAGCATTTGGCATAATGGCTATGTCGCTGGACTCCCATGTAGTTGACTGTGGTTTGAGTCCTAGCCCCGGTGGCTTAAATTCACATCAGGTGTATGTGCATGTGTGCCCAAGATCCCAAGAGGAGAATGGAAGAGAAGGGATTATGGTGTAGCCATCCTCCCAGGGGAGTGATTTCTCACTTTCTGTCTCTCTGTCTCTCTTTCTGGCGAGTGCACACACCCTATAGTAAAAACCTCTCCACAGAAAGAGCCAGGCATCCTCAACAGGATCTTACACCAGATCCTCTTCTTAGCACTTCCAGCCAGTTAGGATCACAGGCCTGCACGTGCTCACCTGGTGTGTACAGATCAACTCAGGAACTAAACCCATTTTTCCATATGGCTTGCAGTGTTGCAGAGCTGGGTACTACTGTAGTAATACTGTACTACTGAAGCTGGGCCCTCATGGCATTTCAATTTTTTTAAGAATTATTTTGTTTAACTTTATTTATTTATATTAATTTGACTAGAGAGGGACAGAGGGAGAGGGAAAGTGAGAAAGCAAGCCACCAGGTCTGGGACTCAAACCATGGTCAGCCATGGGGGAGTCCAGCGCCCTTTACTACCACGTCACCTGCCAGCCCCTCAATTGTTTTAATGCATACTTTGGCTAAAATCTCACTGCCTGTAGTACTAGTTAATGCAGTTACAGGTTTTACCAAATGAAAGCTTTGTTAAATTTAGATCATTAAATTATCTATATAATTAATTAAACAAACCATCTAATGGCCAGTGATCTCTTTTTGTATATTTTTTATTGCTTTTTGGAATTTTCTAAGTCATTAGACTTTCTTCCATTCTCTTTTTTTATTCCGAGCATCCTCTGTGTAAAAATAAGACCCCCCAGTAGAGGGTTTGCATTATCATTCCTTTATAGTACAATACATCTATCATGTTAAAAATCATAAAACTGAAGCTGACAGGATTAGGGAAAAGGACAAATTAAATTCTTTCACTGATTCACAAACCATTGGCAACTTTCCTGGAAGTTTAAACTACCAGTTTAAACTAGAATTGCTTAAAATCTTCAAGAAAGAGAAGTCAGTACAGGAAATATTAAGGAAATGAACTATAGCTAGCTCTGGATGTAATATTTTTAGTCTCCTGGCCCCCGAGGGCTGACCATAGACAGATTCGAAATCATCAGACGGCATTTTCTTGGCCTCGTCTGCAAAGTGCAGCCCTCAGTGTTCACTGAGTTTTTCTGTCTTTCAGCTTCCTCCATTCTCAAGAGGGAGAAGCGGCTGAGGACAAAGAATGTGCATTTCAGCTGTGTCACCGTGTACTACTTCACCCGGAGGCAAGGCTTCACGAGTGTGCCCAGTCAAGGGGGCAGCACTCTGGGGATGTCCAGCCGCCACAACAGCGTCCGCCAGTACACGCTCGGCGAGTTTGCCAGGGAGCAGGAGCGACTCCACCGGGAGATGCTGAGAGAACACCTCAGGGAGGAAAAACTGAACTCTTTAAAACTAAAGGTAAAAAGAACACTTTTTGCAATACCCCATAACCTTATAGCAATTTGATTAACTGGACCATTTTGGGATTTATATTTTCAAATGAAACTGGGCATTTTACCTACCAGTTGAAGCTTCATAAATTTATTTTTAACCAAACAGCATAGTCTGTTCACTGAAAGCAATGTGGGAAACTTACCTGATACCATTGATTCGTTCATTCCACAAACGCTTACTATTAAATAGTGAATTGCTAAATCACACATCTTCTGCTTGGGTAGCAAGTAACAAAAAATAGATGTGATTTCCCACTTCCCTTTCAGCACAGGAACATATGTATTAATAGGAAATAAAACTATGAATCAAATTGTCAAGCAAAATAAAATCACAGCTTGATTCGAAGGAGAGTTACAAGGTACTATGAAAACATATAATAGGAAATTGATGTTGTGCAGGAGGTTAAAGAAAACTTCCTCAAGGAATTGAAATAAAAATCTGAGGAAGTAAATAGCAAAGTTGATTGGCAGGTGTTTCAGGCATCAGGAAAAGTAGCCCTGCCTTGTGCCCCGAAGAAGCTAAGTGAGCACACAAAGGCAGAAAGAGGGAAGTAACATGGAGTGGCAGGGGCGGGGCTTTGCAGACCAGGTTAAGGTATTTCTCTTCTTTATCCTAACACCGTCAAAAATTATCAAGAGTTTTGGGAACCAGCAGTGAGCGTAATGGCTATGTCGCTGGACTCCCACATAGTCGACCGTGGTTCGCCTCCCAGACCCGGTGGCTTAAAACTCACGCCAGACACGTGTGCGTACGTGCCCTAGATCCCCAGAGGAGAATGGAGAAGGGACTGTGGCGTGACCGTCCCCCCTGGGGGGATGATTTCTTGCTTTCTGTCTCTCCGTCTCTCTCTGTCTGTCTGGCAAGCGCACACGCCTATAGCGAAAATCTCTCAAAAAAAAAAAAATTATCAAGAGTTTTTAAGCTTAAGGTTCAAGTAGTGGGACAATATGACCCAGGTCATACAATGGTCAGGGAATAGTTTTGGTTTAAGGGTATCCATATTGAGAGGGTAGGGGACATACAGAATGAGATGATTCGGAGGCTATTACAATAGTCCAGGTGAGAGTCGGTGATGGGATAAGTTAGCTGATGGTAGAAGAGATGAAGAGAGGAAGAAATTTAGAAAATAAAATCAGCGGTGCTTGATGACAGGTTGGATTGGGCAGAAGGGAGGAAAACTGTCAGGAATGACCCCGATGTTTCTATCTTGTATAGATGAACAGTTGTGGCTGATAGTACAGTTTGCTAAGATAAAGAAAAGTATGAGAAGGAGAACAGAAAGAGGATGATCAGATCATTGTTGGACATACCAACTTTGAAGGGTTTTTGAATTTTCAAGAGATGATGGTATCAGGTGTAAATACTTTAGAGAGTACATGGAGAGAAATACAACAAAGAAAATGTCATTCATCAGCTAAGGACACTCTTCATATTTGTATTGGTCCATCTCTCTATCAGTGCATAGGAAAAATCCTCCCATGATTGTCTAATAACAAAGAAAATCTTAGGTAATACAGAGTGTTTAACATAAAGCGTCAGTCATCAAATACCTGATGTACCATAAGCACACCTGTGTTAATTTACCTTTAATTTCCAGAATAAAATGAATTGACAGAGGTGTAATGCATATTTCAAAACACCTTGTTTCTATGTATTTGCAGTTTATATATGTATCTTGTTCTCAATGGCACAATAAGACCATCATTTAAATTAAGCTGAACACAGCTTAGAGCATATAATTTTGGGCACATTTCATTGAAATTCTCTTAAGTTTTTCAGTTACAATTCACTATTACTGTTTTTATGATCCTATTGCATTTAGTTTAACTTAGTAATAATTCTCAAACTTGCTTCTGAAATCTATCCTCTGCCTTCATAACCCACTGCAAGTCAAATCTTTCCTCTACCCACACAGTGAAATCATTCTCCGAATTCAAATGCCATTTGTTAGAAAAATAGTAATGACTGCCAATCATTAAGTGATTTTATCGCCTGGCATTTTATAAACATTATTTAATTCGATCCCCACAAAGACCCAGTAGGATAAATAAATTATTACAACATGTTTACAACTGAGGAAGAAGACACATAAATGTTAAATAACTGGCTCACTCAAATAGAAAACTGATTATATTATCTTGTTACTTCCTGTTCTTAAAATAATTGATTATCCCCTATAGACATTGAGAAAGACAATCTTGGTACCTATAGGGAGTCTTTCTTTTCTGAGGTTTGAAACTGCATGCCATGGTTTTTAACAGCTGGGAGACTGTAATGCTATCTGAGAACCAAAAGATTTATTGTGGCGAACTTTAAAGCACATTGAACATGTAATGAGTATTAGGGGAAGCCACCCATCTGCAGAGATTATCCTCTTTATCAGGCAGTGATATATTCTGATACTATATTTTGGCTGGATAGTATTGATTCATTTGCAATTTTATTTTCACTTATTTTATTTTTCTAATCTGCCAAAGGGTGCGTGCACTTGTCAGAAAGAGAGGTCTTGAAAAAGCACCCCCATGGAGGTTGATTATAATCTTCTCCTCCCTCTCTCCCTCCTTTCAGAATTTGGGGCTTGCACACACATGCACCTAGAGTTTATTTTCAAGCTGAACCCTGCAGTCAGCCATGTGGGATCCAGTCACCCCAACCACTATGCCACTTGCTAGCTCAATTCAGTTTTAAAATTCTGTGTAGTTTTAGATAAGTGAAAGCATGTAGTTTTCCCCTATCATGAAGATATAAACAAAAAACATTGACTATCTTCACTACTTCAAATGAATACCAAGCTAAAAGACAAAGGGATGCAAAGGTGATCTGATCTTGGCCTCACTTGATGTATTTAGAAATACCTGTCACATGAAATTAAAAGATCACAATAATGTAGACCAGTTTTCTAAAAAATCTGTGGTAACTTAGTGGAGAAAATCTAAATTTATTTGTAATTCCTTTTTTTTTTGAGAGAGAGATTTTAGCTACAGGGCGCGTGTGCTCGCCAGACAGACAGAGAGAGATAGAGAGATAGAAAGCGAGAAATCACCCCACAGAGGGGATAGTCATGCCACAATCCCTTCTCCTCCATTCTCCTCTTGGGATCTCAGGCACGCATGCACACGCACCTGACGTGAGTTTTAGCCACCGGGTCCGGAACTCGAACCGCGGTCGACTACGTGGGAGTCCAGAGACATAGCCATTACGCTAACTGCTGGTCCCTGTAATTCCTTTTTCAGACTAACTTTTCAGATTTAAAATAAATATCATAGTCTAAGATTAGCTATCCCAAAACATTAGCTATTCAATCATTTTACAGATAATTGAAATTTCACCTTTACTATGTTTGTTTTTCGATATAAACACCTCTAGTATGAGTAACAAAATAAATACCTCTAAATTGGTTCCATTATTTTGACTGGATCAGACAAAAGGTCTAAAGAGGAATGAAGGGATTGCTAAAGGCAAACGTTGCCCTCCTCGATTTTGCCTAAGTTGTTCATCTGTGGGTGGGTGGGTGGCGGTGCACTACCTGCTGGGTAAGGACTTAGGGAAGATGACAACATCTAACCTGCAAACATTTTCCAAAGCTCTCATATGGACACCAGGTAAAACACTGGGTAATTTTCCTTCTTGAAAACCAACAACCCCAGAACAATAAAGAGAAGGTCCCCTTTTCAAAGCCACTGTGTCATTCCAGGTGTCTTTACTGAGTTCCAAATAGAGAAGTCATTTATGCAATGGCCTCTCCCCAGAAAGGGGCTTTAATAGAGAAAGATGAGTAAAAAAGAGACACAGACATATATACTTCAAATGTTTCCTTATACATATTTTAGAATAAAAAATAAAGATATAGACTTAAGTTTAGATTATAAAATTACCATTTATGACTTCATCTGTTAGTCAATTTGTGAGTTAGAGGTACTGAGAAATAATATATACAATTAGAATTTTAGAACAAACTCAATTCTTAGGAGGCTCAAGTGTATCTTTTTTTGTTGTTGACAGTTAATATTTCCTACATTCTCTATAAACAACTAATAGAGAGAGCTTATTGATTAAAATGCATGTTTCTAGAAGAAATAACTAGCTTTAGATTTCTAAATTACAGAGCACTATATTTTTTCTCTGTGGAGCCCATTCAAACATGTCATGCCCTACACAGTAATCAATGCAGTCATCTTCATTCTACACTCTTCCAAATGAAGTGCTTAGATTTCATCATCTGTACCACACAGTTGAACAGTTACATTAGCTTTTATTCCCATTTCACATATATATGTAAAATGTACTAGGCAGCCATTTGTATGTTCTAAAGCACTTTGGCTTTCCGGTTGCCTCTTGGGGTCCACATATTGAATTCAACTACCTTGTTCTAGGAAGTTTAATGTAGTACTCACAGCTTTGCCTTGCCTCTCAGAGTTTTCTCAGCCCATTTGTTCTTCCTTTTTTCTGAGATCACGGGTCTATCTGCACTCTTGTTACCATTTCCAAGCCACTCTCCAAGGTTATCCAACTTGCTCAGTTTTTCAGTCGTATGTTCTTTGAGTAACATTTAGTTGTTTACTCTCTTAAAAATAATAATAATAGGGTCCAGCAGTTGGCATAATGGCTATGTCACTGGACTCCCTTGTAGTTGACTGCGGTTTGAGTCCCAGACCCGGTGGCTTCAATTCACGCTGGGTGCGTGTGCATGCGCGCCCAAGATCCCGAGAGGAGAACAGAGGAGAAGAGATTGCGGTGTGGCTATCCTCCCTGGGCTGGAGGGGGGGTGATTTCTCGCTTTCTGTCTCTCTGTCTTTCTGGCAAACGCACACACTCTATAGCAAAAACCTCTCAAAAATAATAAACCTTTAAGAAAATCTCTATGTAATTTTTTCACCCTAAATCTCAGATTTATAATGGTGCTTTATTCATTTAGTGACTTACCTCTGCCATGTTATAATTCTCCACTTCATCTCCAGCCCTGA